ATGTTTTATGCACACGTAGTTAAGTAAGATATCAAAAGTACAGAAAGACAGCGAAAAGGTCCCTTCCCTCTACCTTCCCACCCTGAGTTATGCGGTGAGTTCACCTGTCTCTTTCCTGGCTGCCTGGCCACCGTGTTCTTTTCTTGGAGGCACCACCTGTGTCAAAATTCTTGAGGCGCTGACTGTTCAGCACCAGAGGGAGTCTCCCGCTGATAAAGTGTATTCAGAGACTTGAGAACCAACTTAGATTTGGGAATAAAGAATTGGCTTCCACGTGTAGCAAGAAATGATAGAGAACTATTTTTGTGAGAAAAGTTCTAAGTTAGATGAGTCAGCCAGGTAATTTTTACTCAAACGTTTTAAACATTTCCAAACATTCAAAATTCTTTGCTGCTGCTGTTGTTAGGTGCTGTCAAGTCAGTTCCGCCTCATAGCTATCCTGCGTACAACAGAACGAAGCACTGTCTGGTCCTGCGCCATCCTTGCTATGTTTGAGCCAGTTATTGCAGCCGCTGTGTCAGTCCATCTCATTGAGGGTCTTCCTCTTTTTCACTGGCTTCTACTTTACCAAGCATGATGTCCTTCTCCAGGGACTGATCCTTTCTAATAACCTGTCCAAAGTACATGAGATGAAGTCTCGCCATCCTCGCTTCTAAGGAGCATTCCGGCTGTACTTCTTCCAAGATGGATTTGTTCTTTTTTCTGGCAGTCCATGGTATATTCGATATTCTTTGCCAACACCATAATTCGAAGGCATCAATTCTTCTTCTGTCTTCCTTATTCATTATCCAGCTTTTGCATGCATGAGAGATGATTGAAAATACCATGGCTTGGGTCAGGCGCACCTTAGTCCTCAAAGTGACATGTTTGCTTTTTAACACTTTAAACAGGTCTTTTGCAGCAGACTTGCCCACTGCGATACGTTGTTTGAGGTTTTTTTTTTTTTTTTTTTTTTTACTTTAGGTGAAGATTTACAGAGCAAATCAGTTTCTCGTTAAACAATTAATACACATATTGTTTTGTGACATTGGTTGCCAACCCCACGACATGTCAACACTCTCCCCTTCTCGACCTTGGGTTCCCTGTTACCAGCTTTCCTGTCCCCTCTTGCCTTCTTGTCCTTGCCCCGGGCCAATGCGCCCATTTAGTCTCATTTTGTTTTATGGGCCTTTCTAATCTTTGGCTGAAGGGTGAACCTCAGGAATGACTTCAGTACTGAGTTAAAAGGGTGTCCAGGGACCATACTCTCCTGGTTTCTCCAGTCTCTGTCAGACTAGTAAGTCTGCCCTTTTTTTTGTGAGTTAGAATTTTGTTCTACATTTTTCTCCAGCTCTGTCCGGGACCCTCTATTGTGATCCTTGTCAGAGCAGTCGGTCGTAGCCGGGTGCCATCTAGTTGTGCTGGACTCAGTCTGGTGGAGGCTGTGGTAGTTATGGTCCACTCGTCCTTTGGACTTATCTTTCCCTTGTGTCTTTGGTTTTCTTTATTCCCCCTTGCTCCAGATGGTGTAGGACCAGTGGAGTATCTTAGATGGCCACACACAAGCTTTTAAGATCCCAGACGCTACTCACAAAAGTAGGATGTGGGACATTTTGTTTATAGATTATGTTATGCCAGTTGAGCTAGATGTCCCCTGAAATCATGGTCCCCAGCCCTCAGCCCAGTAATTCGGTCCCTCAGGGAGTTTGAATGTGTCTGTGAAGCTTCCATGACTTTGCATTGGTTAAGTTGTGCTGACTTTCCCAATATTGTGTACTGTCTTACCCTTCACCAGAGTTATCTTATCTATTGTCTAGTTAGCGTTTTTTCCTCCCAACCTCTCCCCTTCCTAGTAACTATCAAAGATTATTTGTTTCTGTGTGTAAACCTTTTCATGAGTTTTTATGATAATGGTCTTGTCATGGATTGAATTATGTCCCCCCAAAAATGTGTGTATCAATTTGGCTGGGCCATGATTCCCAGTATTGTGTGGTTGTCCTCCATTTTGTGATTGTAATTTTATGTTAAAGAGGATTAGGGTGGGATTGTAACACCCTTACTAAGGTCACATCCCTGATCAAGTGTAAAGAAGTTTCCTTGGGGTATGGCCTGTACTACTTTTTATCTTACAAGAGATGAAAGGGAAGCAAGCAGAGAGTTGGGGACCTCATACCATCAAGAAAGCAGTGCCAGGAGCAGAGTGCATCTTTTGGACCCGAGGTTCCTGCACAGAGAACCTCCTAGTCCAGGGGAAGACTGATGACAAGGACCTTCCTCCAGAGCCAACAGAAAAAGTCTTCCCCTGGAGCTGATGCCCTGAATTTAGACTTCTAGCCTATTAGACTGTGAGAAAATAAATTTCTCTTTGTTAAAGCCATCCACTTGTGGTATTTCTGTTATAGCAGCACTAGATGACTAAAGCAGGTCTCCTACAGTATTTGTCCTTTTGTGATTGACTTTTTTCACTCAGCATAATGCCCTCGAAATTTACCCATATTGTGAGATGTTTTGCAGATTTATCATTGTTCTTTATCATTGTATAGTATTCCGTTGTGTGCATGTACCATAGTTTGTTTATCCATTCTGTTGATGGGCACCTAGGTTGTTTCCATCTTTTTGCTGTTTTGAATAATGCTGCAGTGAATATGTTTATTTGTGTAACATTTCTTATTTTTCTAGGATCTATTCCTAGGAGTGGTATTGCTGGATCGAATGGTATTTCTAGCTTTTTAAGGAAGTGCAATATCATTTTCCAAAATGGTTGTACCATTTTACATTCCCACCAGCAATGCATAAGAGTTCCAGCTCCCTGCAGCCTCGCCAACATCTGTTATTTTTTGTTTTTTGATTCCTGCCAGTAATGTTGGGGTGAGATGGTATCTCATTGTAGTTTTGATTTGGGTTTCTGTTAGCTGCCTGATCATTCCTGAAGTTTTAAGCTTCCCTTTGCTATAATTTTCCTTCTCCCTGAAGAACTTTCATTACATACGTTTTAAAGCAAGTCTGCCTGAAACCAATTCTCCTGATTTTCGTTCATCTGAAAATGTCTGTATTTTGCATTCATTCCTAAAGGATATTTTCACTGGGTATAGAATTCTGGAAAGGCAGTTCTGTTTTTTCATCCTATTGAAATTATTTCTTGCCTCTGGCCTCCATGGTTTCTGATGAGAATTTTGCAGGCATTTGAATATGGTTTATGCATAGTGTCCATGTAGGTAATGCGTACTTACTTTCTCATGTGTCTGCTTTTGGATTTTTTTTCTTTGTCGTTGGTTTTCAGCATTTGATTATGATTTGAATGTCAGTTTTTTTTGCATTTCCCCTGTTTGAGGTTTGCTGAGTTTCTTAAATGTGCAAATTTATGTCTTTCACTAAATTTGGGAAGTTTTCAGCCATTATGTTTTCATATTTTTTTTTCAGCTTAACACTTTTTCTCCTCTCCTTCTGGAACTGCAATGGCATGAATGTTCGCTTTTCAACATTGTTTCGTATTTTTTCTGGGGCTGTGCTCATTTTTTCCCAATCTTCTCTCGCTCTGTTATTCAGAGTAGATAATTTCTATTGATTCATCTTCATGTTCACGAACTGTTTTCTCTGTAATCTCCATTCTGCCATCAGGCCCATCCAGTGAAGTTTTTGTTTTGCTTCTTGCATGTATCCATTCTGAAATTTCCATTTGGTTATGACTTCTCTTTCTCTGCCAAGACTTTCTGTCTTTCCACATGTTTCACGGGTGTTTGGCTTTGCTCTTGGAGCATGGGATAATAGTTGTCTTTAATGTCTTTGTTAATTTCAGCGGTCATCTCAGCGGTTTCTCTTCATTATATATTTTTTGAGAATTGCCAAGACTTTCCTGAGTCTTTGTATGTTGAGTAATTTTGGATTGTATTCTGTGTACTGAATGTTATGTTATGGGACTGTAGGTCATGTTTAAATCTCACGGAGAATGTGGGTATTTTTGTTTTAGCAGGAAATTGCCTTGGTTAGAGTCAGCCTGTAAGTTTCAGCCTGCCTGCCATGGGCTGGGCTTCTTACGTTGGTTTTGTTCTCAAGCCTTTGCAGTGCTGTTTGGATCTGTGCTGTGTGTGCTCCATCCAGAGGCCAGCCAGAGACCCAGACTGGCCATGCCTGTGTTCAGGTCTACAACCTTTGGTTTGTCATTTAGGGTCAGATCCACACACATTCGGATTTGGGATGACCCAGGAATTCATACAAACTATATGGAATCTCCTTCTGCATTTCCTGCCTCTCCCTCATCTCCCACACACTCTCGGGCTCCAGGGCCCCTTCCTCGTCCTCTGGCTAGAAATCTGGGGCTGTGTCCCCTCTCTGCTGCACATTTCTTGTGATGGGGTCTGCCTCTGCAGCCAGGCTCCGGGAGGGGGGAGGGAGAGAGCAGTGGGGGTCCCTGTCTGTTCTTTGAACCATGTCTCTAGTCAGAGAAAAGGGTTCGCCTCCTGCAAGGTTTTAGACGCCCAGCCGTTGTCACCACTGCTGCCATCATGGAGTTGCAGCAGACACTGGGCTTGCCTGAGAACAGGGCCAGGGCAGACAGGAAGGGAATACACACAGTACAGGGTATTTCCCCTCTCTTTGTCTCGCGTGGGTTTCCTTCTGTCTGTGAGTGGTGCGCGTTTCTGGGAGGCAGGCTGCCTTTGAGTGCAGGCCAGGAGATACAGAGGGGCAAAGTAAAAACCAGGAGACTCACCTTGGGATAATCCTGGCCTCCCTCCTTAGTCCTCTTGTTCTCGTTCAGTTTCCAGGGCCTCTGAGGCTGCTCTGTGTATCTGCTTGGGGCTTTCAGTTGCATCCATTGGGAAAGACAGGGTGGGTTGTGCTCGTTCCATCTGAACTGCAACCAGAAGCTCTATTTTTTGCTGTTAATTATTGTCGGAATGTAGTGGGCTGAGACTTAAAGGTGGCTCTTTGGAGGTGTTTAAGGATGATGCTTACCCTGTGTTTTCTGTGCAGATGTGGAGACCACCCTGTAACCCTCTGTCCTGCTTTGTTCTTTTGCCCAGGACTTGGGACCCTGGAGGAGTGGCACCTCTGTCCCCTGGCGTCCTCTTCGGCTGAGCCATGGCGACCCCGGATGTGAGTGTGCACATGGAGGAGGTGGTGGTGGTGACGACACCTGATACCGCGGGCGACGGTGTAGAGGAGGTGAAAACAGTGCTGGTGACAACCAACCTGGCCCCACATGGGTAAGGACCACACGCCTGCCTGTTCAGGGCCTAGTCAGAAGGGGGCTCAGATGGGTTTACCTGTGGTGCAGCTGGCATTGCAAGCATAGGAGGCAAGCTTCCGGAGGGTTTTCTTTTACTTACGTGGAAACGCCCTATCGGTCAAGAAGATCCAGCTGTAAAGCTTGTAAAGACTGGGGCACCTCATCTTCTGTCCCTTGCCTGCATCAGCACCACCACGTGTTTCATTTCAGAAACACGTGATTTCTCTTTTGATGAGGTGGAGCAGGAGGGACAGTTGGGACTGTTTTTCAGAAACAAAGCTGGAGAGCCAGTGATTTTCCTGACGTCCCTTAGGATAACGTAGAGTGTTTTCTTCCCAAAATCGTATAGTAGCTGTCCAACTAAAATATTAATTGGTAAAAAGACCGTCTTTAGTTTCATCCCTTTCACTGCCCCACAGGCAGAACAGGAGCTGCACATCATCGAGTGGTTGAGGAACCGCTCCTCCCCGGGAGCTGCCACCTTCCACTCCTGTTTGGGGGAGACAGGGAGCAACAGGTGGGCCTGAGCAGGGCAGCGCTGCTGCACCCCTTCCTTTCAGGCAGGGACATGGTTCCTGGGGTTCTGGAACTGGGGCACCTCTTCCTGTCCTCTCAGCCTTGCTGTCTGTCTGCGTGTTGCGTGTTCATACTGGCCTCAGCTTATCACAGAGCGAGGGTGAGCTGTTGACTTTATTCCTGCCGACAGAACTTCTGAGAGGAAGGTTCTAGACCCAACCCGAGTCATGCTGCCCCACATGGGGAGGAGGATGGAGCTGTGTGGCAGACCCAGTCTGGAAGGCTCTTTCTGCCTCCATTTTCATGCTGCCCACCACCTTGGGGGAGTCCATGCTCATGGACCGACCATGCGGAACTGCCCTCGTTCAGTGGAGCCCGCTTTGCGTCGTCTCCCCAGGCACCACCCCTGGGAGGGGAGGAGCCTCTGGGTGGTTCCAGCCCCACAGTGACACTTCCCCTCTGAGAGCCCAGACATGGTGCAGTGGAGCACAGCCGTCCCCGGGACCCCTCAGACTCCGGGACCCTCCTAGGGTCGTAGCAACTGACAGTGTGTGAAGGGGATGGTCTGTGGCAGCCACGGCAGTCAGGGCGCGTCGTTTGGAATTCTGCTTTTTCCACGCAGCTGGCTGTGTCCTTCAGGTCAGGCCCACAACAGTCGTGGTCACGCTCTGGGGAACAAGTCTGAATGGAGGAGACAGCCCCCAAGCAAGGGCTCCCACACACGTGCACAGTTACCTGCTGTGGCAGGTGCTCTGGAGGAGAAGCGCAGGGGCTGTGCAGAGCGCAGTCTGGGATGCGGCATCACTCTCCAGACCCAAGTCAGGAAGGAGGCCCGTGTGGCTGGAGCATCAGACCACAGGCAGAGTGACCAGGAAGAGCTGAGGAGGGTCAGGCTGGAACGGGAAGGGGGCTCAGCCTAGCCCAGTGGAAAGCCTGGGAGATCACTAGAAGAACAGACAGGAGTGGAATGAAACGGAATTGGGCTGGTGTTGTGGGACCGGGAAGGGGTGGATTGGGTTCAGCCTGGGGCACGTCAGATTTGAAATGCCAGAGAGCCCCTCAGGTGGAGAAAGCAGGGCGCATTGGGATGGAGCACCTGCAGTCAGAGGGATCTCAGCTAGGGACAGATGTGTGTCGGAATTGCAGCACACAGGTGGTTTTTGAGGACAAAGGTGTGTCTCGGCTGACCTCCAAGGAGCTGCCAACATTGGAGGTTAGGTGGTGGATGATCCTGCAAAGGGGACTGGCGGGAGGGCGAGCCTGGAGGGAGTGGGCGCGCTCCTTGCTGCTAGAACAGCGGCTCAGCTGGAGGCAGCAGTTCAGCTGGAGGTGGAACAGTGTGGGGCTGGGCAGCATGATGGGGTGGAGGGAGGAAGTGGGTATGCAAGGGGAGACTCAAAGCTTGGCTGGGACGGGAGGGGGAGACTGGGGGGCTTTTTAAATTAGGTTTTTTAAAGGTCGCGGTCAAGGTGACAGTAGAGGCGTGGGGTGGCTGGCCCTGCTCCTTGAGGTTGCACCCTCTGCCAGGCTGGCCACACACAGCTTCGAGGGTAGAATAAGACTCTACCTCTTGGTGGGAAGAGCTACAAAAATATCATGGCCATTTCTGCAGTCTCCTGCGGTCTGTGCCCTTGCCCAATCCCTTCTGTTCCTCCCTCATGTGGAACGCACTCACCCTTATCCCGGGGTCTTCCAGCTTCAGGCCTCAGGCCCACGACCTCCTGGGCTGCACCGGTGGGGACACTGGAGACTTTCTGGAGGGAGCACCTCTTGATCCACAGACTCCAACTAAAACCATGAGTTACTCCCCTACCCCTACCCAACATACAAGGGTGGGAAGTGGGAGAGGGCCCTGTTCAAAGCCACAGGCAGCAAGGGTTCTTTGAGGTAAGCCTCCTGCTGCTCTGGGGGAGTGTCAGTGCCTCGCGATCCTCACGAACCCTTTGCCAGATGGGTGTTGCCTTCCAGCCCAGGGTCTCACAGCCACACTGGGGTTGGTCTCTGCCCTGAGGCCACTCCCCACTCAGAATCTTGGCCCGCAGTTAGGGATGCAGAGCAGCTGGGCCCCTCTGCCCCCTCTATAGTCCTGGTTCAGTGGACGCTTCTTTAGCTCTCTCCCAGCCCTTACCATCTGAAGCTAAAGGAGACCCTGTGCCCTCTCTGGAATGTCCTCCCTGGGGCCCACAGGTTCGTTAGGTATTTGTCCATCGTCCACGCAGCCCTGGCTCACTCTCGGCCGGTTGTCCTTCTGCTCCATAGCTCAGTGTCCTCTCTGGAATGTTCCTCCCTGGGGCCCACAGGTTCGTTAGGTATTTGTCCATCGTCCACGCAGCCCTGGCCCACTCTCGGCTGGTTGTCTCTCTGCTCCATAGCTCAGTGGCCGTTCTCCACGCCGACCAGAGCAGCACCTTCCCACTTTCCCAGCCCTTCTGACAGTTTGCCAGCTTCTCAGCCTTTGTCTCTCTCCCAGTCCCAAAACCAGCGCCCCATGTTTCGGGTCCGTGTAGTAACGGCAGCCCACTTCTGGTGCAACTTCTGTGGCAGCTTTCTCTTGCTATGTGGCAAGCCAGGACAAAGCCCAGCAGGCTGGCAGATATGGGGTGTCAGCAGGGGCGGCTGGAGCCTCTCTCCACGTGGCTCCCCCTCCAGGAGGCCTGGCGTTCTCGAGAAGGTTCCAGCAGCAGGCCTGGCCGTATCCTGTAGGTTAGCGCAGGTCACAAGGTCAGTGCACAGTGAGGGGAGATACCCCCTCAAAGGTAGCAGCTGTGAGGAGAGGTGGTGCTGCCTCCCCTGTGAGAAGATACCTGGTAGCTGAGGGATTTATCCCAAAGGACCCAGACCCCTTCCTTTCCTTCTGTGGGAAATCTTTATCTGAAGTTGGGAGCTGAGCTGGGGGAGTGGAAGCTCGCTGATGACTCTGTGGGCACTGCAGTTCTTCTCTTGTTGGAATTTGGGGGAGGAGTGGGCTGTGCTCATGTCTGAACCGGGTGGGGCTGCCATGGCAACGGGCCACTGCGGGATGCTTGGGTGGTGCTTTGTAGAGCTCCAGTGGTTTACACACACGTTTGCTTTAAGCAAAGTGGAGGTTTTTCAGACAAAGTCTGAAAGGCAAAGTCTGGTCGATTAGCAGCTCACCCAGAGTGATGGAGGAGATTCCACTGAAGTGTTCCCTGTAGAAGGCTCCCCGTTGCATTCTGCCCTCAGGTTCAGTGGGCTACCTGCCAGGAGCAGGGGCACCCTCGGCGGGAGCAGGGCCAGGTGGGAGGCGGAGGCCTGTGTGACACCGGTCATGAGGCCTGGAGCAGGTGTCACGGAGCAGGTGTCCCGGTGGCCCTGACCAGCAGGCGCAGCCAGGGGTGTGTGGTGGGCAGGCTGGCCAGGGAGGCCTCACAAGAGGACAGGTGCTAGGTGTTCGCTGAGAGCTCGGACACTGCGGCGCTCTGCAGTTGTGCCTTCCGCCCTCCAGTCCCCGTGGCGGCCCTCGTTTGGTGCTGGAACCCGAAGAACAACTCCTTGTCGGGACGCGCGGCGCCCAGGAGCCGCTCCTAGTAACGTCTTTGATTTTGGGCGGAGTTCTTGAAGTGCGGCCTCCGCACACAGGCTCACACTACAGACCGTCGTCACAGGGGAGCTGACCTGTGGAGCCACCCAGGTCCCTCCTGCCTGTCTGCTCGCCTCCACGAGATGGCACCCTGTGTTCCAGCCCACAGGAAGCCTTTGCTGCTCAGACAGTTCTGCAGGGACCCTCTGTGTGTGGGGCTATGGGTCGCTGCGGGCTGGTTACTGGATGCAGGCTAGGGGCTGCCAGACTGAGCGGCACGTGCCCTGAGCTGGTGACAGAGCGCCCTCTGCGCCGCAGCCCGGTTCACGTGGTGCTTCCCCGTGTCCACACGCCTGGTCTGCTGTCCATCTTGTAGGTTGTCTGGGCCAAGTGATGGCTCTCGGTCGTGTTTGCCTGCACGTCCTCTTACACGTGATGAGCCATCTTCTGGAAGGTTGGGACACTGGTCTTTCTCTTCGCCCAGGTCTCTCTAGGCGTAGCTGGTGGATCTGTGGGAGCTCTTTAGGTAACATACGAAAATCAGCTGTTTGACTTGAGTATGTTGTAGACATGCCCCTCGCCCCCCGCGTCTGTCTGTCTCTGTTTGGTTGTGATAGGATGTATGTAACAAAGCATTGGCCATTTAACCATTTTACATGTACAGTTCGGTGACGTTAATTGCCTTCATCATGTTGTACAGCTGTCACCACTGTTTCCAAAAATTTTTGTCACCCTTCGCAGAAGCTCAGTGCCGCCCAGCAGTGGCTCCTCCTCTTCTTCTCCTGCCCCTGGGAGTCACTAATAAACTTGGTCTCTGCACTTGCCGCTTGTAGATGTTTTGTATAAGTGGGATCGTAGGACGTTTGTCCTTTTGTGTCTGACGTCTTTTGCTCAGCACGTTCCCCAGGTTCGCCCATACTGTAGCACGTATCAGAGCTTCATTCTCTTTGTGGCTGAATCTTTTCCCACGCGTGGCCACGCCACTTCTGGTTTGTCCATTCACCCGTGATGGACACTTGGGGTGTTTCCACCTGTTGCCTGTGAAGGGCGCTGCAGTGAACATTGGTGCACAAGTGTTTGTTTGAATACACGTGTTCGTTTCTTTTAGGTCTATACCCAGGAGGGAGATTGCTGAGTCGTGTAGTAATTCTGTGTTTAACTTTTTTAGGAACCAAGTTCTCTCTCTCTCTTTTTTTTTTTTAATTTGCTTATCATTTTCTTTTCCTACACGGACATTTTTTAAGACAAATTTATCAGTACTTCTGGGTTTTGTGTCACGTAAGAAAAACTTTCACCCCTTTGAAATTAACTTGAAATTGTTCCTCCTTTGCTTTTAATACTTTTCACGGCTTCCCCTTACATGTATGTTTTAATTCACCTGTGACTTCCTTCCGTAGGAGAGGAGGTTGGGCCGCGGGTGGTTTGTTTCCTTCTTTCTGAAATGGTACATTTTCTGATAGTTTCTCTGACCATATGAAATCATGGAAGAAAAATAGTTTCATTAAGGGAAGATGTGGAGTGTGCAATTTTGGCTTCAACCCTCACTGCTTCCACGCATCTGTGGTGCCATTTCCCGTGCCAGGTGCTGTGCTAGGCGCTAAGACAGCCGCCCCTGGAACCAGCACTGTACAGAGAACCACCTGCTCCTGGGAGGCACGATGGCCAGCTGCCGTCCCTGACCTGCCCGGGCCCTGCCACGTGCGAGCTGAAGGTGCAGCCGAGAGCCCAGTGGTGGGCCGACACGGACCCCCGAGGGCGCCACGCGCTGCTGACGGGCTGACACTGCCCTCTCTGTTCCCGGTTTTCCAGGGGCGACCTGACGGAGGACAGCATGGAGACAGAGAATGCCGCAGCGGCCGCAGCTGCTGCCTTCACAGCCTCCTCGCAGCTCAAGGAGGCTGTCTTAGGTAGGAAGCCTGCCTCCCCCGTGGCCACCACAGGGCAGCCCCAGAGCTGACTCATCCCGAGCAGGGGGCTTCTCAGGGTGTGTGGGTGACAGCTGGAGATGAGCAGGGCCGCTCGTCTTCTCAGATTCAAAAGCCACCGCTGTGGCAGGGGCCCTTAGCGGGGGGACACCCAGCGTACGGAGTCCGCCAGCTGTGAGTCCACATTTCTGCCCGAGACGGGTGAGCGAAGAAAGGCCGCCCCAACTGTGCAGCCCTTGCTCCCGTGGGGATTTTGTCATCTTGTCTCCGCTTCTGTATCTGTTCTGCCTGTACTTAACTGTAACTATCAGTGAGCGAAGCAAAAGTTCTTCTTAACACCTTTGATATTTTTCTGGTGCTTAAGATGAAGGGCCCAATTAAAAAAAAAACAAAAAACCTGTTACCGTTGAGTCGACTCTGACTCCTAGCAACCCTGTAGGGCAGAATAGAACTGCCCCATGGGGTTTTCAAGGCTGTAAATCCTCACGGAAGCAGACTGCCGCATCTTTCTCCTGTAGAGTGGCTGGAGTTCAAATGCACATACCTTTCGGTTAGTAGCTGAGCAGTTAACTGCTGCACCACCAAGGCTCCTCTGAAGGGCCTTAGAACACTGTAATACCTTAAAAATAAGTTTCCCTGTAATTATTTCGGAGCCTTGGTGGCGCAGTGGCTAAGAGCTCAGCTGTTAACTAAAAGGTCAGCGGTTTGACTCTACTAGCCACTCCTTGGAAACCCTATGGGGCAGCTCTTCAGGTAAACAGTTGATTTTATTTTCTTAAGTGGCTCTGCCATAGAACCATACCTGAAAGGAATTGTATTGTTACCACTCCAGTGTTTGCTAAGTGGGTTTTGTGAATAAGAATCTCCCAGGAGCAGTGTCTGCCCAGTGGGAACCAAGGTTGTCCCGTCACCCCCGGCCTCGTCCATCTGTGGGCTGGCGTTTGTTTCAAGTTTTGGTTTCTGGGTTGGTGGCTGTTTTTCTGCTTTTGTGGGAAATGGTTTGGTGAGGTTGTAACTGATTTTCTTCTGTCAACACCTGTGAGAAGTGAAGGTGGCTGAAGAGGAGGAGAGCCTGGAGGCTGAGGTGGTGTACCCCATCACCTGCGGGGACAGCAGGGCCAACCTGATCTGGAGGAAGTTCGTGTGCCCCGGCATCAATGTGAAGTGTGTCCAGGTGAGGGTGTAGGGCAGTTGCCGGCTGCAGGAGCAGGGGTGCTGGCTGTGCACCGGGAGGTGAGCGGAATGAGGCCCTGCTCCGCGTGGCCTGAGTGCTGTGGACTTGACAGACAGGAGCCACACGTTCAGGGAGACCCTAAACAGAGGAGGGGCAGGAACGAGCCGCGAGGACGGGCAGGGCTGTGGCCTGTGTGCACAGTGAGGAAGCGCACTGGGGAGCTGCGACTTTTTCCTCCTGGATGAGGTGGTGGGAGGGAACTTGGATGCAGGCTCGCCCCCCGGGGGAGACCGCCTAAGAGGGACACTCTGAACAGACCCAGCCGGGATGATGAAGGGTGAGCGGGACACTCTGAACAGACCCAGCCGGGGCGAGGAGGGGGTGAGCGGGACACTGCACAGACCCAGCCGGGTGAGGAGGGGTGAGCGGGACACTCTGAACAGACCCAGCCGGGGCGATGAGGAGTGAGTGGGACACACTGAACAGACCCAGCCGGTGTGATGAGGGGTGAGCGGGATACTCTGAACAGACCCAGCCGGGGCGAGGAGGGGTGAGCAGGACACTCTGAACAGACCCAGCAGGAGCGACAAGGGTGAGCGGGAAAGTGTTTTTCTCCTGCCAGCGTGGTAGATCAGGTGCCTGCTCACCTCATGCCAGAAACAGCTGGAAGTGCCAGTGAAGTGCTTTTAGATGCATCTCCTAGATGGCTTCATAAGCTGGCAAAAAAGGAAGGACTCCTCAGGCTCCAGGGTGGAGTGCAGGTGGGTGGCCAATGAGACAGCCTTTGTCCTGAGGGTTTTCACCTCAGTTTCCTCATCCTCGTAGGCTGAGGGTCAGCAGACCAAGCCAGAGGGTTACCCGACGTCTGTGGTTTGGGGGGTGATTGTGCCCCACAAAGCTACTAACTTCAAGAGGGCTACTAACCCTCAGTGTAAGGGTGAACTACTGACTTCCTCCCAGCGCTGCCTTGGCCCCTGGGAGCACAAGGAAAACTCCCGCCTCAGCTTGTGGTGCTGCAAGCGAGGGAGAGGAAGGGCTCTTGAGAATTCTCGCGTGGTGGTCCATGAGGTCTGGCAAACCCCGAGCTCAGTGCTCAGTTGTGAGTGGTTCCTGCAGGCAAGTCCCCTAGGAGCTCATCTTTAACCCAAGTCTCAGTTATTTCCACAAAGCTCCAAGAAAAGGTGCATCTCACAGTAAGACAAGCAAACAGGAACACCAAATACACAAGGACAGAAGCAGCCTGAGCGTGTGCAGGCAGGAACGTGGACAGGCGAATCAGACCCACAGAAGCTCACAGTATGGGAATTTTGAGACAGAATATGAAATAATTATGTGTAGTTTGTTTCAAGAAATCAAGGAGGTTTGGACATGAGTAAAGCATAACCAGATTTGAGAAAACGCAACTTCTAGAAGTGAGAGCAGAGTTAAAGACTAAATGCAGCTTCTGGGAGTGAGCGTAGAGTTAAAGACTAAATGCAACTCCTGGGAGTGAGCGTGGAGTTAAAAGACTTAGCGTGCAGGTGTTGTGGCAGATTAGACATGGCTGAAGAGATCATTTGTGAACTGGAAGATAGAACTAAGGAAATTAATCCAGAATACAATCCATGGAAATTAAAAGATGGGAAACAAGCTAAAAATCACAGAGGAAAGCATGAGAGAGTCCAGGGCATCTATTTGCATTCTGGAAGGAGAGAAGAGAGAGAGGCTGAGAGCTGTCATAATCGAGGAAAGACATCAGTCCACGGATTCAAGAGACCTAAAAAATCCCAACCTGGATAAATAAAAAGAAATCTACCTACATTTCAAAAGCATCGAGGTGCCTGCTGGAAGGATTCTCACCGGCTGCATCTGGGACTTGCATCTCAAAGTACATCATGACATAACGCAGATATGACGAGAATCGACAAGTTCATGCCTGCTGCAGCACGTTTCACGTCATTTGTTCATAGCAAATAAACAGAGAAGGAACGCTCTGATGTTGGCACGCCAGCTGGTAAACACAGAAGGAGGGTGAGGTCAGTCCTCAGTGGATGTGCCAGCCCAGGCAGTGAGTTAGGCGAGGAGCACCCCTGTGAGCTGCCACTTAAGTCCAAACGGGAGACAGTTACTTGGCAGGTCCCCGAACCAAGTGGTTTGCATCACGGCAGCAGCGCTGGGATGAGCCGCTGTCATGTGCCTCTTGACATGTGGCGGGGTCTGTGGCTTCCCGCCACAGCGCATGACGGGTGTTGTAGTCAGGAGAGCACGTCAGACGGACAGACGGACATTCAGCACTGCACCTGGCCCGCATCTTCAGAAACACGAAGGTTGAGACGGACGGAGGCTGAGGAACCGTTCCGAGCAAAAGGAGACTTGAGAGACAGGACCACTTCATGCAGCACAGTGTTGGGTCAGATTCTGCATCAGGGTAGAAACAGCTGTAAAGGCTGTTAGTGGGACAGTTCTCATAATACGTTAACGGTTTCCTGATTGTGAGAATTGTGCGGTGGTTATGTAATAGAACCCGGTTCTTAAGAAATATGTTTGAAGAACTTAGAACCGCACGCCACCAGGGCAGTCTGCTCACTCTAAGGTTGGCGGAGTTCAAATGTCGTAGACGTGGTCGGCCAGCAGCAAACCACCACTGAAGTGCGTTCTAAGAAGGTGTTTCAGGCTGCAAGGAAGTGACTCCAGAGAGAAGTTTTGAGATGCAAGATGGCACGAGGAGGAGAGAAAGTGGACAACGTGAGGGGACTGAACAGAAGTGGCTGGAACGTCAGTGGTGCCGTGTGAGGGTGTGGAGAGACACGGCACACCACAGTGGGCAGGAGGGGTTCGTGGACCTGTGCCAACTCTAGACTCAGCACTGAGCAGGCCTGCTGGTGTCCAGTCACCTCAGAGAGCCTGTGGCTGCCCCCAGTAGGGGGACGTGAGGAGTGACCCGTCCATCAGATGGGTGCCAGGAAGGGAGGGGGTGATCAAAGTGCAGAGGAGGGGCCGAGGAGCTCCAGAGCACGTGGCGCAGGATGGAGGCGGACCTCCAGGTGGGCAGGGAGAGGGCGCGGGATGGAGGCGGACCTCCAGAGGGTGCCGGCCGATGGTGGCCGAGGAGACGGCGGGGCGTCTGCGTGAGGGTGGAGGTGTCTTCTAGATCCTGACACCTGGGCTCATGGCCCACCCCCCTGTCAGCTGAATGAGGGGACCAAGCGGCTTCCTGGACTCCATCCTCGTCTGCGACGGGACGGGGAGAGGAAGCATGCAGACCCACGAGGAACTGGGAGAAGCCTTGGACCTAAGACGGCTCCCCAGGCTGGGAATGCTTGCCCTGAGCAGTCTGGTCTTTGGGGTGAGATACAAGAGCTGGGGGTCTGTGCTGTGGCAGTCAGGTGATCTCCTGGCGGACCTAACTGCAGGCAGGAGGGTGCCCCGAGAGGGGAGGGACAGCAGGAGCCTGGGGGCTGTGGGGCTGGAGCCGAGCCCCACTTGGGCCCCAAGGGAGATGCTTCCGCCTACCCCCACGAAGCAGCACTCACGGCGGGCTGGTGCCGAGCCCTGCCTGGCACAGAAGCAGCTTCAGGACCTGTGGGAGCTTCCCTTTTTGCCAAGACCCAGTGATCCACCCACCGCAGCCTGCTTGTTTTCTAAGGAAAGGCAGCCTTGTTTTGACTCTTTGATTCCAATCACTGGTTGTTTAACAAGATTGAAAAGGATATTTTATCTTCTGAAGCTGTGTGAGCTCCAAGATAGGGTAAAGCTAGACAGCCCAGAACAGCCTGAGTAGGGTGGGTGAGGGACACAAACCACAGCTGGACGAGGAACTGGGCGAAGGGTGTGATTCTAGATGCTTCTGTGTCATTTTGTTTCTTCGTGTGGTGTTCATGGCGTGTGATACAGAGGAAAGGCGTCCCAGCTGGGGGCCAGGTGCCATGGCTTTCTGACTACTGTGGCCACCTCGTGTCCCGTCCACATGGTGTGCTTCCCCTACCGGACTTGGGGGCAGTGCCCTGTCCCCATTACTGAGACGCAGCGCCCTGTTTTTTACAACTGGCAGGAAGCTAGCTCCCCTACCCAGCCACCGAGCACAGTAGGGCAACTCCCGTTTTACCTGAAACGTGTCTTTCAACCACTTTGGTGCTCTTCCTGGGTCTGGGCGCCCGGCACAGGGACCAGGAGAGCCCTGCCGTGGCCTCGCCCATGACCAGGCCCCAGCCAGGCCTCACGCAGATGCTGTGCTTTCCCCACAGTACGACGAGCACGTCATCAGCCCGAAGGAGTTTGTCCACCTAGCCGGCAAGTCCACCCTGAAGGACTGGAAGCGGGCCATCCGCATGAACGGCATCATGCTCCGGTGGGTCTGAGGCACGCGACCGTGGTGAATGCGGGCAGGTGGCCAGGTTCCTGAGCGGCCGCGAGGCACACACCCTGGGCAACTCGCAGCAACATGCAACAGCTCAGACCTTCAGAATTTTATGCCAAATCTTTTGACTTCCAGAGACTACCTGCAGGCACCTGTGGCTCTCTGCCTGTTAGAGCACAGCCCCCACGTGCAGTGTCGGGTGGTGGCCCGGCACATCTAGCTGCTTGACGTGGCCTTTGACACTGTTCTTCCTCTTTGTCTTTCTTATTACACTTCCGGAGCCCTGGTGGCGCAGTAGTAAAGAGCTCAGCTGCTAACCAAAAGGTCAGCAGTTTGAATCCACCAGCCACTCCTTGGAAACCCTATGGGGGAGTTCTACTCTGTCCTGTAGGATCGCTGTGAGTCAGAATCGGCTTGACGGTAGTGGGTTTGGTTTTTGGTTTTTAGTACTCAATACTCAAGTGTCTGTAAAAAATGCGCGTGTCGTATATGAGTAGCTCAGTGGATTTCCCCAGAGTGATCGCAGGACCAGAGAGGGGACTGGCAGCCCCCGGACCTCCCTCACAGGCCTCTTTTCCCCAGCCCCCCCAGTCCGTGGGGTCCTGTTCTCCAGTGAGATGCCCGTGGGGGCCAGCACAGACCAGGTATAAGAGGGGACCTGGAGACGTGTGGGGGCCCCTGGGCCAGGCCCGGTGGTCCTAGCAAGGCAGGAAGAGCCGAGGGAGACTGGATGCTTGTCTCCTGCAGGCTCCACGGGAACCTTTGTCTGGGGCCTGGTCTCATCAAACTTCCCTCCCTCCCCCGGCTGGGGGACAAACCCTGCGGGGGGCTGCCTCATCTCTAGGTCAGATCCTACATGTGACACACCTGTCTCCCCCCCTCGCCACAGGAAGATCATGGACTCTGGGGAGCTGGACTTCTTCCAGCACGACAAAGTCTGCTCCAATACCTGCCGCAGCACCAAGATTGACCTGTCGGGGGCCCGCGTGTCCCTGAGCAGCCCCACGTCAGCCGAGTATATCCCGCTCACGCCGGCCGCGGCCGATGGTACGTGCCCGGCCGTGTGCTGTGTGGCCGCTGCCTTGTCACTGCCCCGCGCCCAGCTTCACTTTACCCGGAGTGGGCAGAGCCCTCACCACCCTGGCTGCCCCAGTGCTGGCCTGCTTCCTCTCTGCCAGGGGATGTCCTGCCCCTGCGTGTCCCCACTTGGTAGCGTGTCCCCATTCTCTCAGACTCCAGGGGGATGTGTGCACGTCTATGTGTGGTCACAGGCTGTGTGTGTGTGGGCATGCATGTGTGTGGTCGGGGTGTGCGTGTGGGCATGCATGTGTCCGGTCACGGGGTGTGCGTGTGGGCATGCGTATGTGTGGTTGGGGTGTGCGTGTGGGCATGCATGTGTGCGGTCACGGGGTGTGCGTGTGGGCATGCATGTGTGCGGTCACGGGGTGTGCGTGTGGGCATGCATGTGTGCGGTCACGGGGTGTGCGTGTGGGCATGCGTGTGGTCACGGGGTGTGCGTGTGGGCATGCGTGTGGTCACGGGGTGTGCGTGTGGGCATGCATATATGGTCGCACGGCATGTGTGGGCATGCGTGTGGTCACGGGGTGTGTGTGTGGGCATGCGTGTTTGTGGGCATGGGGTGTGCCTGTGGGCATGCGTGTGTGGTCAAGGGGTGTGTGGGCATGCGTGTGTGGTCGGGGTGTGTGTGCGGGCGTGCGTGTGTGTGGGTTGGGGTGTGCGGGCGTGCGTGTGCGGGCGTGCGTGTGTGGTCGGGGTGTGCGTGCAGGCGTGCGTG